ATGGCGCTGCATCCACGAAGCGGCTCGATCTGGAGTCCGACTATCGCCATGCCGACGTCACCGATGCATCGCCGATGCACCGGCGACGCATCGGCGGTGCGGCGCGATCCGTCGGTATGGTATGTTCGACTCCAGGACACGCAGCAGATTGTCCTGGGGCGCAAGGCTACCCTCAGGATAGGGGCCTGTAGCTCTGGGGGCCGCGGCTCGGAGCAGCAACACAGGAGCGACGCCAACAACACGGGGTCGTCTGCGCCGGCATCGGCGCGCAGGCTGCCCGCGTGAGCTCGCGCGTAAGCACCCGCAGGCTTCCGACAGAGCGTGCCGCGCTGGCTGCCCGCGCAAGCTGCGGCGCAGGCCACCAACCCGCCAACCCACCAAACCACCCCCACCCCAACCCGAAGGCCTCGAGTTGCCCTTCATTTCCAGTGGGGGGGGGTTCGGGGAACATGGACAAAGCACAGATGGAACCCTTACCCCCCCCAACCCGAAGGAGGAGGAGGAGGAGGAGGAGGAGGAGGAGGAGGAGGAGGACAACTCGGGACCCCCCCCCAAACCCGAAGGAGGAGGAGGAGGAGGAGGAGGAGGAGGAGGAGGACAACTCGGGCCTTCGGGGGTTGGGGTTGGGGTGGTCCGGTCCGCAGTCACAGAGAGGTCACCGCGCCATCTCGCGCAGAGGACTTCCCTTCTCCGTCGTCGCTCCGCTCGCAGGGCGCCGGGGCCTGCGCCGAGCACGACGCCGACGACGCCGACGCCGACGACGACGCCGACGACGACGACGACGACGACGCCGACGCCGACGACGACGACGACGACGACGACGACGGCGACGACGACGACGACGACGACGACGACGACGACGACGGCGACGACGACGACGACGACGACGACGACGACGACGGCGACCGCTGGGACTGGCTTCTCATCCTGGGGCTGGCTTTTCATCCTGGGTGTAGGCGCCCTCAGCGAGCCCCTCGAGGAGGCGGTGCGCGGTGGGCTCCGACGTGGGGGAGGGGGGGGGCGGGCCCTCCGGGCAGTGCGGCGGGGCCTCTCGGCGGGTGCGGCGAGGCCGGGGACCGTCGGCGAAGCTCGCGCCCACCGTCGTGCACCTACCCCACAGCGCCAGCAGCCCCGCGAGCAGGAAGCACCTTCGCCAGGAGGAGGCGGCGGAGGAGGCGGAGGAGGAGGAGGAGGAGGAGGGAGGAGGAGGGGGGAGGAGGAGGAGGAGGGGGGGAGGAGGAGAGGAGAGGGGGAGGCGGAGGAGAAGGGGAGGAGGAGGGGGAGGAGAAGAAGGAGGCGGAGAGGAGGAGGGGGGAGGAGAGAGAGGAGGAGGACGAGGATCAAGTCGGGCTTCCCGGCGGCCCTGGGTCGTAGCTGCCCGGGCGTCTGAGGCCTCGGCTCGGGGGGGCCCAAGCTGACGGGCCTGGTTTCCACCACCACCAACAGAAGTTGGAGGGGGAGGGGCTCCTCCTCCTCCTCCTCCTCCTCCTCTCCTCCTCCTCCTCTCCTCTCCTCCACTTCCTCCTCCACTCCTCCTCCCCACCACCACCATGAGTTGGAGGGGGAGGGGGTCCTCCTCCTCCTCCTCCTCCTCCTCCTCCTCCTCCTCCACTTCCTCCTCCTACTCTTCCACCACCACCACCACCACGACCATAAGTTGGAGGGGAGGGGGCCCTCCTCCTCCTCCTCCTCCTCCTCCTCCTCTTCGTCCTCCTCCTCGTCTCCTCCTCGTTCCCCCCGCCAATTCATGGTGGTGGTGGAAAACGAGCCCATCGGAAGTGGGTACAGAGCCTTCTTCCGTCGGCGGCGAGGCAGAGGCAGCCCGCTCCAGCGTGTGGCACTCCGGGGCAACCGGACGGCCAATCGGCCAGCGTGCAAGAGAGGGGCAAGGACGAGGACGGCCGCGCGGGGGAAGGGAGAGGAGAGAGCGTCCAGACGTGGAAGATATTCCGCGTCGAGCGAGCTGGAGCGGGCGGCCTTGGCCCGCTCGGTGGGTACGGAAACAATGGGTACGGCGGCGGCGAGACTTTTTGACGTCTGGGGCCCTGGCGATCGTCTGCTTGCAGACGGCCGCCAGGGCCTCTTTGACGATGGCCCATCCATCCCTCCCCCTCCTCCTCCTCCTCCTCCTCCTCCTCCTCCTCCTCCTCCTCCTCCTCCCCCTCTCCTCCCCTCCTCCTCCCCTCCTCCCTCCTCCTCCTCCTCCTCCTCCTCCTCCTCCTCCTCCTCCTCCTCCTCCTCCTCCTCCTCCTCCTCCTCCCCTGGGGATCTCAACCTCTCAACTGCCCACCTCACCGATCCACCGCGTCGTCCACCTGCGTCGGCGCCCCTGGCAGGCGGCGGGGCGCCCTCGCCGCGCGGCCGCCGACGGGGCGGCGACCGCGCCGCCTCGGGCGCCGCCGCCCCTCCTGGTGGGTGCGGGCATTTTGATCGATCGATCGGTCGACATCTGTGGGCCGACAGGGTAAACCTGCGAGGCGCCGCAGGAGCGCGCGCCTCCGCAGGCAAGCTGGTGCAACGGCTTCGGAGGGAAGGCGAACAATTAGGGGAACAAAAAGTGACATAAATCAAGGGCAGAAGAAACGCCCCTACACTGGTTTACGAGGCGCTGTGCGCTGAAACATCTGTGGGCCGACAGGGTAAACCTTGCGTGATGTGCCGCGCCCTGGCGGCTCTAGGCTTTTTGGGGTGCCCCGGAGGTTTGCAGACCACGCACTTGTAACCCAGGGTAGGGTCGTCTTTTCATCCCTCAAGGAACAGCAGAACACAAACTCTTTTTCGTCGGCGGCGACGCAGAGTGGGCTGCGCCAGCGCTAGAGCTAGACGGGGGCACCGAGGAGCGAATTGGCCAGCGTGCAGGAGCGGGGGAGAGGACGGACAGGGCGGCCGCGGAGGGGGGGAAGAGCCGGGGCCGTTCAGAGGCGGGAAACTTCCGTCCCGAGTGCGTTGGCGCGGCAGGCCCCGTCGGCGGGATCCATGGCAGCAGCCGGGCCGCAGCGCCGGGGCAATCACGGGCGATGCCGGGGCCCAGTACGTGGACGCAAGTACTGCAGTAACGCTGCGGATGAGCAGCAGCGAAAGCACACGAACATACATATACGTGAACATGAATTGTCGGAGTCCCGCGCGGCTTTCTTCTAGGCCTCCAAGATGGGGTCGGAGTAGATGGGGTCGGAGGACCTCGCCTCATCGCCGATGCATCGGCGATGCGGCTCGAAGTGGGGCCCAATTTTCTCCATGCCGACGTCGCCGATGCAGCGCCGGCGTCGCCAGTGCATGGCCGATGCATCGCCGACGCATCGGCGATGCATCGCCGATGTTTCGGCGATGCTGCGAGATCTGCCGACCCCATTTACCCTGACCCCATCTAGGAGGCGTCTTTTTGGGGGGGTCGGCGCTGGAGCCTCCTGGCGCCGCCCCCGGCGCGCTCCCCGCTCCGGGGAGCAGGACCCAGCGCCGATCCGAGAAGTCCATGTCGAGCTCCGAAAGTTCACGCGTAATGTATGCCACGTGCTTCAGGAGCGGAAGAAACACACAGACACCATGAATCGTCGATTCCCCCGGAAATGTTGGACAACATATGGGAATTGGGGGGGGGAAGACAAAAACCTAGAAAATATTGGAAAATATAGGGAATCTGGTTCTTTGTGTCTATTTCTTTGTGTGCCCCAGTTCCCCTGCAGTGCTGTTCGGCTCATCTCTGGGGTAACGCCAGGGAGGTTTAGGGCCAGGCGCGGGAGCGTGCGTCGATCCACCATCGCCCCTTTCATCGCCGATGGGAGCCGGGGTACCGGGCGCCCCGCTCCGCGCAGATGTGTCGATCGTCGCCGCGCAGGATATACAGCAGGAATATAGCACCACCCACCAAACCACCCCGACCCAACCCGAAGGTTCAGATCTACCCTCGATTTCCAGTGGGGGGGGGGGTCGGGAAACATCGAAAAAACACATGTGGAACCCTTACCCCCCCCAACCCGAAATTCGGGTCTTCGGGTTGGGTTGGGGTGGTCTGGTAGGTAGTCAGTATAGGCGTTCGAACGGTCCGCGCGAATTGTTTTCATCTCTGTGGGGTCCACCTTGTGGCGCCTACCAGGCAGCCACCCAAAGACGCGCTCCGCGCGCAATGGAGCGAGCCCAATATAGAAGAAATCTGCGCGGACCTCCGACAGTGTATGTTTACGCGCAGTTGCGTGTTTGATTTTGTTCGAGGGATCGACGTCTCCATCAGATCCCTCTTCGAAAATCCACGACCCCCAGATGAGGCTGGAGTCGATGGGACCAGAGTTCCTGGCCGCATCTCCGATGCATCGGCGACGCGGCGTGATTTGGAGTCCGATTTTCTCCATCTGGACGTCGCTTGCACATCGGAGATGCATTGGCGATGCGGTGCGATCTCCCGACCCACTTTTTTTCCTGGTCCTATGTGGCAGGCCTCCTCGAAAAGGCGCCCCCAAGATTCAAGCATTTGCCCAAGACACCCATACAGAGCACAGGATCCGCGCAATGCCGATCCATCGATCGACATCCATCGTTGTCGATTGAAGATCCATCGGCATGTCGATCGATGCTCGACGTTTCGGGTTCCAGACATCGTAGGATCGAGGCGCTTGGCTGTGTCTGGGCTATCTGTCGGGCAGTTTGGAACGGCCGCGGCGCCCGATACATCCTCCCGAGCCGCCATATCTCAGAGATCTCCGATTTTGGGTCCGGTTTTGTCCTGGCCCTGGCTTCGTCTTACTTTGGGGGGGCCTCGGGAGGGGGGCGCCCTCGTCGTGGCCGAGGCCGGCCGGATCCCGTGCCTTGGCTTAGGGGGGCAACGTCAGGGGGGCAGAGGCTCAGTGGGGACGCATCGACCCCCAGTCGCCCATGGATTGCCGATGGAGACTGGATAGCCTACCCCGCCCAGGACCATGCGGCTTCGCTATCGGGGGGGGCTATCGCCAGTCTGTCGGCGGTGCATCGCCGATTCCAGCTCGATGTTTCCCCCCTCCCCTGCTTCGTCCTCCTCCGTCGTCCTCGTTCCTCCTCTTCCTCCGAGTCGTCGGGCTGCGGTGGATCCTGGCCGGATGGCCGCTTTGAGGCCGAGGCGTTGCTGTGCACTCTTGGAGGCGCCACCCTGCTCCAGGCCCCTTGCCCACGCTGTGGCGCAAGCGGCATCTGGCGCGATCCACGGAGCTTCGTGCTTCCTATGCACGTGCGGTGCCGTGGTGTCTTCGTGCTGCGAGCGGGCGTTGCAAGGCGTCGGCGAGGCGCTGGGCGCGGGCGGGCCTGCGCTGCCGCAGGTGAGTGGGCCCCTGCGGGGGATGACCGCCCAGCCGAGGCTGCCGCGGCCGCGCCCGCAGGCTGCCACCTTTGTGGACGCTCTGGAAGCGGGCTGGCGCTTGGCTGATTTGCGTCTGGCCGAGGCTGCCTGCGTTGAGCCTCGCGGAGGTGATGCTGGTGCTCGTGCCGATTGTGATGACGTCCTTGCTGATCCTGGCGTTCCTCACCAGGCTATCGTCGCCAAGATGATCGCGCCGAGGATGCATGTGTCGAGCCCCGCGCAAGTGTGCGAGAAACAGCTCCCGTCCGACGCTCTACCGTCAGTGGGGCGGACTGGTGGAATGCCCGCCAGGCGGTGGCGACTACACGGCTGGCCCCTCGTGGAAACGCTGGGTTCAAGTTTACTCCGAACTTCTTCCGCCCCTCTGCGCCCTCTGAGCCGCGCGGTAGATCTGTTCGATTGCGTGCCAAGCGCACTGTCTGTCGTGATGCGTGATGTCTTGTCTGCATGTTGTAGATAATCTCTCTCTCTCTCTCTCTTGTTAGATGCTCCTCTCCCGTGCCACCCAGGAGAGGTTTGGAGCTTGCTAGCCGCCAGCGTCTCTTGCCTTGCTGACTGTGGCCCTCGTGGTTTTCGGTCCCTTGTTCTTCGGTCGGTCCTTTCGGTCGGCTCTGTCTCTGGGTCCTGGGTCCGTCCAACGTCCCTTTCGGCCTTTCGGGCCCTCGCCGTTCGTCGGCTTTGCAGGGGGCTGAGGCTAGTCGTCAGCCCGCGTCCAAAAAAAAATGCGCAAGCTCTGGGCTGGTTTCTTTCATGGCATTCCCCCCCCTCCCCCTCCTCGCCGCTTTTCTTTTCAGCACTGGGCCAGAACTACTTTCGATTTGCATGATCTCCAGCTTTCCTTTAGGTGCTAGCCGGTGAGCCCCCCCCGCCCATGCAAGCAAGCTTGCCCGAATTCGTGCTTAAAAACAACATGGTCTTTTTCACGGTCCCAGGGCCGGGCAAAGGTCCCAGCGGGCCGAAAATTGCCACGAACCGCCCGCTTTGCGTTTCCGCGGCGCGAGGTTGTCTGGGGAGGACAGAGGACACCAAGAAGGAAACGCGTCCTACTCCGGCCTGGTTCCGCTTAGCCCAGCTCAGTCTCGCCCGATGGATGTCTGGCCCAATCTTCGGCCCGCTCTGGTCCAGCTTGGCTCGCTGGCACCCGAGGTCGGGCCTCGTCTTCCGGTCGTTCCCACGAAGATCTTCTCAGGAGCTGCCTCGAGAAAGGGGGGGCCGGGAGGGCGGGGGGCAGGAAACTGGCCCAGGGAAGGAGCACGATGACCATGACCAATATGTCGCAGGATCCTGGTGGCGCTGATCTTGGTCATGGTCCATGCCGGCCGTCGCCGACTCGCGAGGACGATCCACGAGCTGACGGTGACCACAATGGAGGGCGACAAAGATCGGCACCGCCGTTTCCGCGTTCAGTCTTGGTCATGGTCCTCGGTTTTTTTTCCCTCCATCGCAGGCGACCGCTCGCCCCCAGTCCCCGAGTTCCCCCCAACAGGCTGGCCGCTCAGAAAAGGAGGGGGCGGTCGAGGGATGCACCCCTTTGGGGGCTACTCGGGGGCACCCCCACGAGGCTTGGCGCCCCCGCCCCATCGTATCTCCGCGAGCTGTGCCCCGAATCTGCTGTACCGTCGCAGACCCCGCAACGTCTGGGGTGGGGTCGCCATCGCGCCCCGTTGGGGGCAGATGTGGCGCTGCAGAGAGGGCGCCTCGGGTCGGGCGAAGATGCGGGTCATGGTCACCGTTTCAGCTGACGGACGCACCCTCGTGCCTTTTTGCATGGGGATTTTTTGCGAGCGCCACCCTCACCCCAAAATCAAGAATGGCGGGCTGCGCTGCGATGTGTCGATCTGCCGGCCCGCCGACATCCTACACCCCGCCGGCGGTGCCAACCAGCACTGCATCGGGGGCAGGGGGGCGTTGAAGTTCGCGCCGACCCCCCTGGTCGCGCGAGCGGTGCAGGATTGTGCCCATCCGCCGATCCGACCAGGAGCCGCCGGCGCCCCCAGCCGAGCGCCTGCCCCATCCCGACGGCGGCGCGGGGCGAGCGGCGGTGCCCCCCCCCCCCGCGCGCGCGCAGGCGCCGTCTGCCCGCGGAGCCCGCCGGGCAGCTGCAGCCCTGGACCGCGCCAGCCGTGCCCGAGATCTCCGACAGTGCGGAGTGTGACAGAACGGACGGTGTGTCCGCAGGTTCGAAGGAGGAGATGTGGTGTTCCATCCCTGGCGCCTTGTGCTAAAAAACGGGCGGCCTCTCCATGGATCCGAGGGTCTGCGTTTTTCAGTCCCGGGCGTTCTGTCAGACCACGGACGGCTTTTCTATACAGACATATATGTATATACATATATATATATATATATATATATGTGAATATGTATGTGCATATATATATATATATATATATATATACCCGAAGACCTGTCCTTGTGAAATCCTGGGCGTGTTTCCTCGCTCTCTGCCTCCTCAGCCCGCTATGCTGGGCCCGCCCCAGGGACCATCAACGAAGCTGATCTCTGCGGCACAAGAGACTGGCCCCGGGGGAGGGCTGTCGGGAGAGGTCAGTCGGAGGCGGCAAAGAGGGGGTGATGACTAGGGGGGTGGGGAAATCATGGCGTGGGCCATGATATTAATCGCTTCGCTCATTCCGCCGGCCCATATTGTCGCACCGTTGTGGGCTAGCCGAGTTTTGGGGCCTCTTGCTGGGGGCCGTTTTGGGGCCTCTTGGGGCCTCTTTTGGGCCTCTTGGGCGCCTCTTGGGGCGTCTTGGGGGCCTCTTGGGGGCCTCTTGGGGCCTTTTTGGGGCCTCCTGGGCGCCTTCTGGGGCGGAGGGCTCGATTTTTCAGTTCTCGGTTCCCCTCTTCAGCCCCTCTTGGGCCCGTCTTGGGGCCTCTTGGTCCGTCTTGGGCGGCACTTGGGCCGTCTTGGGGGCCCTCCTGGGCCGTTCCGGGGCCGTCTTGGGAGCCTCGTGGGCCGTCTTGGAGCGGTCTTGGGGGCCTCTTGGGCCGTCTTGGAGCGTCCGGAAGCCGAAAAAGCCAGAACGCAAAAAACATCGAAAAAAATGAAAATCAACGATTTTGGCCTCTTGGGGCCCTCTTCGGAGGCCTCTTGGAAGGCCCTTGGGGCGTCTTGGAGGCCTCTTGGGCTGTCTTGGGGCCCTGTTGGGCGTCTTCGGGCGATCTTTGGCCGTCTCGGGGCCCTCTTGGACCGTCTTGGAGGCTTCTTGGGGACCTCTTGGCCCGTCCTGGGGCCCTGTAACAGAACTCCGGCATCTCTGGCCCGACCTTGCCGGGGACTTGCCGGGGACCTTGCCGGGGTACTTTTCGTCCGGGGACCCCCAGGGGCCGCCCCGCGCGCGCGAACTAGAAATACTGTTAACCAGGTACCGGAGATCTTAGCACGCCCTGGCCCGTTGGGCCGGCGAATTTCCGCAGATTTCATGGCGCCTCTTCTTATCTCATGACGTCCCTGGCCCCCCCCCCCTGGGCCGCGCACGTGCCGCCTGCCAGGATTTGCCCCCCCCCCCCCCCCCCTCTTGGACGCCTCCCTCTCGGCCGCTCCCGAGTCGGGGGCCGCGGATCGAGAAAGCCATCTCCGAGGACGTCTCTCGGAGGCCAGTTGAGCGAGGCAGCAGAAGGGGGTCGTCTGCGCCGACAGTGGCGCGCAAGCTGCCCGCGTGAGGTCGCGCGTGAGCGCCCTCGTTGCCGCCGTGGCATGCCGCCGCGCGCGGGCGGCCCGCGTGAGCCGCCGCGTGAGGTCGCCGTGTCCCTTCGCGCAGGACCCGCTTTGGGTCTGCGCTCGGGTGCATGTCGTAAGTCGGGCCTGTCCCCCTGCAGGGGGATTTTCGACGAAAAATGAAACATACCCCAAACATAGTCCCAAAATAATCCAAAAATGGTCTGGGGACTATTTTTGGAGTATTTTTTTTTTAAACCTTTTTGGAGCATTTGTGGGGTATGTATTGTTTTTCATCGAAAATCCCCCTGTAGGGGGACAGGCCCGACTCAGTGCATGTCCAGATCTCAGCATTCGGGGGCAGTTGTCAGGCCCCGGGGCCCCGTGTCCACGGGCCAGCCTTGGAAGATGTCACCTCCAGGGAAGGGGTCGTCGGGGCCTCTCGGACCGCGGGGCGAGGAAGAAAGCAAATGCTGAGCACGACACGCACATGAGCACATAGCCACTATCACGTGGCATCGCAATACTTGCTGATTGCGACACGCCACGCCGTGGCCGAAGAAATGCCAAAGCGCTGGGAGGGCCTCCACACCCGTGTCGTGAAAAAAACATGTGTCGTCGGGGCGAGAAAGGAAAACACGTGTGCCGTCGGGTGCCAAGCGTCCTTGAGACTTGAGAGTTGCATCCGTTTACCCCGGGCGTCTTCGCCCAGATTCGGACCTCCGAGAGTCCGCAACCCAGAATGACAAGCTTGACTTCATCATCCACCACATGGCCACGATAACTGCAATCGCGAACTCGCAGATCCAGGTAATGCGATCGACAAAGGTTTTGCTTAGCCGGGTCGAGACCCCATGAGTGATCCAGTTTGGGAGATGCCGCAGGAAGGTGGGGTCTGTGGCTCTGGACGTAATTCTTCACTGTGGTGCATGTTTGCTCGCGACGTCGGATCCCAGGAGCGCATGGCGGGCTCGTGTCGTGTCGACACGGCGGCGACCCCAGCGCTTACGATCAACGTTGAACGCCGCCAGAGGCTTGGAATGTGCCGACATCGAAGGATCATACGCCATCGGAGGGCTGCGATCCCTCGAGGTTGAGCGGTCCGCGCCGCGCAGTGTCAAAGGTCACCGCGCAGGTCGCCACGACACGGACCCGCCGTGGCAGGCCAGCTCTGCCGCTTGTGCCACCGCTCCGGGAAGCGTGCCCGGAGATCCGTCGCGCCGATTTGCTCCGTGCGGGGCCCCCCGCAGTCCCCACCCTTTCTCCAGGGCCGGCTTTTGGTCCCGATGCGTTGTTGGACGGCCACGGGGCTCGGCGAGGGCCCCTGGAGACCGAAACCGATGGGGCATCTCACGGTGCGCGCGGCCGCGCGTGCCGAGCACGCGAGCGCGGAAGCGTGCCTCGAAGTGGTCTCGTGCACGGCTGGCCTCGTCCAGCGAGTGCGTCGGCCACGCGCAGAGGGGGGCAGGGGGAGAGGGGCCAGGGCTAGACCTAAACGGTGTTTTTGGTGATTTCGTGGGCCGTTGTCGTTTCGACTTCGTTTTGCGGTAAAGGTGGATTCGAGACAAAAGCGAAGGAAAACGAAAACAAAACGAAAACGAAAAACACAGTTTAGGTTCAGCCCTGAGAGGGGCAGGCTTCTTAGAAGCACCCTTGCGTCTTAGAAGGCGCGGGCCTTGTCTGTAGATGTGTGGCCGGCGCCTTCTAAGAAGCAGCCTCCTCCTAAGAAGCCTTCCCTCCTCCCCCCTGTCCCCTTGTGCGCGCCGCCAAGTGGGGACGGTCTACGAGCCGCTTGCTCGCCCTGGGCTGGCGACGCCGAGCAGGGTAGCCGGCCTCGGCGCCCTCGCCATCGCGGGTGGCCCCAGCGTCCCTGCTGAGGTGATTTGTTCGACCCGGTCGGCATCGGGACAACGGGGTCCTTGAGGATGCGGCGGGGGCGTCGACGAAGGGGTTGAGGGCCAGTCGGCTAGGCTAGGAGGGTGTGGACGTCAT